AGACCATCAGATTCAGAGTCAGTCCGTGCACGGCTTCTCGAGAATGCAGCGCCTGCTGGTGCTCCAACTGGGCCAAGACCTTCGCGGGTGCAGTCTGTGCAAGTGCGGGCTCGAACGACCAGCATGACTGCGTCTGGAAGTCCGCGGACAGTAGCTACGCAGCCTGATCTTGCTGCCACGCAGTTCAACGTTCAACGGTTCAGTCAAGTCGTGCCGTCGACCAACTACGAAGCTCCAGCTTGTTCGCCAAGAATTCAAACCGCCCCGTCAACGGCTATAGCATCACCACGTCGCACAAACATCGGGCCAGACTCTCACTCACAAGTCCCCGGAAGGGATCATACAATCCTGTCGCAACCCGGAGATGAAGCAAGAAATCACGGTGTGCAAAGACCAAGTTCTGCTAGCAGCTTGCTTTCACGATCAGAGCGTTTTCCATCAGGCCACAGTGCACCAGGAGGACCGTCGGCGAGCCAGCAGAGTTCGTCCCGCCTACGCCTCGACGATGCCGCGACCACAACGGACCGACGTGCATTGCGACTCTTTGATGAGCCGGTCAGATCACAGACACCTGGCACTACTCACGAATTTCCACAACAAGCGTTCGGTCAAGTCCACCCATCGCCACAGACCTTAGTGGAACAGTCACCAGTGAAGACGCCTGCTTGCAGTGCCGGAAGTCCTGGAAGTTGTAGGCCAGGATCGCAGCCGGTACCTCGAGGAAATCGCACATGGGTGCGGGTTGGCCAGCCGAATCACCGGACCTCTGGCACTGAATTGGTCAACGCCACGTCTGCACAATCTTCACCAGCAGACAACACGCAAGACGGCGACCGCGGTCAAGCGGGAAGCTCGCAGCGCAATGGACAGAAGCAGGGTGGCCATCAAAGAGATGATCATGACAGGAGTGATCTTTATCCTGGTCAATCCCCCAGGACCGATCACACAAGAAGCGGCGACTCGTATCGCCCAAGCTATGGTCTATCTCGACCATCAACCGACACTTCACGCATTCCACATCCTCTGCCCAGAAAGCCCGCCACACAGACGCCAAACAGCTCAGATGAATTACCCGTGGAAGCTCCGAAACCACTCGATTACCGCGAGGCACACCAAGAGCGAAGGCGAGACTTCTTCCGTGGAGAGCAGCGAAAGCAGTGGTGAGTGATCCGACATATCTTGCATTTTACAATCTGCCACACTGGTCCGCGTAGAGGAAGTTGCACAACATAGCACAAGTCATTGGATAGCAATGCAATCGCACACTTTGACATTCCACTTCCCATTTCCCACTACAGCATCTCAATTATGTTCAACTTCCGCATCGACCATTTGAAACAGAGCTCTCGGGATCGTCGCTAATCAACATCGTGCAGGCTGAGGGACAAAGTCTCACTTGAAACAAGCATCGTTCATGTTCTGCCGTGGCTCGCGGAGTACCGCAAGTCCTATCTACACGATCCAGTCACAGCAGAGCAATTCGCTGCAATCGTGAGTCGGCTCTGCCCACACATCGGGCTAACCGAACACGGCGCGGCGCTCGAGAACACTCCAGATGACACCGAAGTACCCAACGTTTCACCACCTCTCGCGACCACGGATCATTTGCCGCATACGGCTGAAGCACTTCACAATGCACCGCCGCCCGCCGCATCATCTCGACCAGTCTACCCGTCAGGCGACGGAAACTTGTCCACATTCACCTCAACAACGTCCAGATCACAAAGCTTCTCCTCGCGACGCAATTCCCGGCGGTCGCTGCCTTGGGCCACATTGCCAGAGGAGCCTACCATTGAGGTGACGGCTTCTGCTTCGACTGCACAGTCTGCTGCACCACGGACTTTGGAAATAACCCAAGCTGTCGGTCCAGTGGTGACGACAACACTAGCCAATGAGATCGTACAAAGAACTGCAGCATCCGAGGTGACGATGTTCACTGAATTCGCCAGAGCGTGGCACGCGGTGAAGCCGGGCGGAGCTTTCGCAAGACCAGCCAAGACTGCGTCCCGATCAAGAGCGGCGAGTGGAAGATTGAATGTACTAGCATGGGGTTTCGGGAGGTAGATAGATGTACATCCAGCTACATCATGTCCATCCACCCGTCTGTGAGCGATTCCATTACCACTTTCTTCATCCTCTCTTCCGCCGTCTGAACTTCAACCCATCATCCTCATCCTCGTCCACATCCACCGCAGCACCAAGCCGACTCTGCACCATCCTCGCCTTCTTCGCCACACCTCCAGCACTCCCTTCGGCGACTCGCTTCCTCCCATTCCTCTGACTCTCAGTCCCAAGCGTCTGACTAGGCGTCCCTCCCATACCCATAACAGCGCCCGCATCTTGCAACCCTTGCAAATCCTCGTCCTGCTGCCGTGACGCCTGGACTCTACGGCGGAAGCGGGACGGGTCTGTGTCTTCGCTAGACGGATTGATGGACTGTCGAGACTGCGATGCGCCGGTGTGCTGGGACTGTGAGGCTTGGGATTTTCGAAGAGTGGAGGAAGTCGAGGGCGCGGTGGTATCGACCCAGTATTCCACACCTAGTCCGTTGCCACGACGCTCGCACTCTACGAGGCTGACCATGACTTTCTGTAGGCGTGGCGCAGTCTCGCCTCGTCGCCGGAAACCTTTGAAGTTCTTCCTCCCGTTCCAGGCTGGATCCCAACGCTCGGACGGATCTTCAGGCGCATTCCTACGCAAAGGGGGAGGTTTGCGGGCGGGTAGGGCGAATGTCTCGACTTTTGCTGAGATGGCCGAGATATTCATCCCTTCGAGCTGCTGTTTCAGCACCTCTTCATCCGCGGCACGGGCTTCGTCTTCGGCTTTACGCCGAGCTTCAAGAGCGGCGCGGATGTCTAGCTCTTTCTCCTTCTTGGCCTTGCGGACTGTAGTAGCAGGTGCTTCCGGGGCGGGCGTCGCGCGTGCTGCTGTTGAGCCTGGTGCCGCAGCGGTCTTGCGGCGTTTCATCGCTGCGGCACCGGGAAGCAGGGATTCCATCATCGCTTGCTCTTCTTCTTCTGCTGTCGGCTCAGGTGGCGCGGGGCGCTTGCGGGTGTTGGGCTGAGTGTTGCGGAGAGTCTGCGAGGGCTCATCCATGGAGACATCTTGGACGCTGGGCGCTGGACTGGGTTCGGGAGAATCTGATGCTGGGCGGATGAACTGACTTGGGTCTGGGTCATCGAATCCCTTGAAGCGAGAAGTCGTGACGATGTGGCGAGTCTTCTTGCGACTTGTCTCTGGCATCTTGGAGGCTATAGGCTGTGGTGTCTCGGTTGGTGTTGGCTGCTGCTGCTGTGTTGTCGGTGCAAGGTCTTCGTCGCGACGGTCAAGTGAACGACGGGAAGCGACATCGCGCCGGGACGCTGCAGATGCATCGCGCGTTTGTGACCCGTTTGTCTGCTGACTGGCCTGTGGCAATGGCTTGCGCAAATCGCTCGGAGTGAGCGTAAGTATCGCGTCCAGGAATTCGTTCTGCTCCGCAGAGCGCTGGCCCAGCTCGCTTTCCATGGTCTGCAAAAACTTCACACTCCACTCATCATCTCTATGCTGCAACCTCACGACTACAACTCCTCCCTCTCCACTCGTCTGTGTCAGTCGCGGCCTCCGCCTCTCCTTGACACCGGCCAGCTCAGCTACATGCTGCAACAGCTCCTCAACCTCACTGACACCAGTCTCGACCTCCCAGAGCATAGCCTTGCCACCGCCTGTTGTCACTACCGGCATGAGGTTGTCGTACTGCGCTTGCGAGAGGAAGACGAAAGTGAAGTGCGCCAGCATGTCCACTCTCCTCGGATCCGGCTTCATCATGGACTCCATTCTGGGCACAGGCTCGCTCCCTGGCGGCGTAATGAACTCCTCCTCTTTCGGCCAGTACTTCTCGTAGTCCTCCTCTAGCAGACTCACGACGTCTTCGCCATTCGCGTCCTTTCCCCTCCGCTGCGACACTTCCCCGAGCTTTTCCAGGAACGCATACCCGATAATCCACTTCCCTTGCAACAGCGCCTGTAATCCTTGCGTAAAGTTTCGTTTTGTTGCAACAACGTGACTGGTCTGATTCGTCACATACTCTGTGACGAGCTTCACATCACAGCTCTCCAGGACAGCCCTGTACTCCTCCAGCGGGTCCTTCTTTGTCTTCTGACTCTTTGTCAAGTTGCCGCAGGTGAAGACCACGTCCCGCCACTCCAGCACGAAACTCTCGCCATACTCTCTCCCTAAGCGGATTGTGAAACTGGCGGCGCTCTTGTCGAGTACTTTACTGCCCTTCAGCACCGCCTCACCATTGACGAACGTCCCGACTTTCGACCCATCCGTGATAGTGATCTCACTTCTCGTATGTATATGCGCCGAGTCTTCTGACTTGACAGGGCTGATATGTATGGTACAATGTTTTCGCGACACTGACTTATGGTTTATGTAGCGGACTACCTCGCCGCCCGGGGAGCGACCCGAAGTTCGACCAAGCAGGTGACCTGTACCTGGACGAAGCCATAATGGCTTATGGTCGAAGAGATCGCCGGTGTGGGTGAGGAGCCACATGGTCGACTCATGTAGCAAGTCATCGCTGGCAGAGGAGTGGAGACATCGAGTCTTGTACAAAGTAGTCAGATCGTACGGTCAAGGTCAAGATGGAAGCGCGGGGTCTCGAGGCAGCCACGCGGAAGCCACGCGATGTCACGTGGGTTTGGACTTCACAGGAATTCCCGTAACTTCGATAAGATGGCCCAAAACAAGCAAAACATCTGGGCACTTACGAATATATACAACATGGACCACAACATGTCCCAGCAAAAGGTGAAGCTGTATCATCGTGAGCCGAGTGGAATGTGCTATGCGTCCTAAGGCAATATATCGTGGGATGGCTTGGCAAAAAGTTCACCTCACTTTCACATGTCAACGTCGCTCCTTCCACTTTCGCACCTTCCTCAAACGCTCAATATCGCACCTTATGCAGCGGAATCTGGCAAAAGGAATAGACCGATGCAACGCAAAAGATTAAGCTCCTCGACAGGGAATCGAACCCTGGTCTCCCGCGCTTGTAAGCAAGCTAGAACTCGTCTTTGACAAGCGGAAATCATGACCACTAGACCATCGGGGAATTGATTACTCATGCGTAATCGATGGTGATTCGATGGAAGCTCGACGAGATTGAGCGTATATATTACCCCAACAGAAAGGGTGCTCATTTCGCGCACCCTAGAGGCTGCGAAATCAACGACCTTACCTTCAAAAGATGCGATTAGTAGGTGTACGTATCGTGATGAGCTGTCAACAGTCTTGCTCCGACATCTGCCGACTTCACACTGTCAGTCCCTGGCGGTCATACTCAAACAATCATGACCTGGAATCACTCGCTGTGCTCGAGGATCATATACCTAATGCGGTCGAGCTTTCGCAGTACTTCAGTTCTTCCACGCAGAGGTGTTTCGGGATACGCTGTATTCACATATGTATACTGCGCCGGACATGAAGTATTGTAAGGACTCAAGATCGCTCGTCCTCACCTTGGCTCAGCTTCAGTCATGCGTTCATGAGCTTGCCGAAGTCTCTCGACCACCGCACTCTCGTAACCTGTCTCCGCGCTCTGCTCGAGAATTACTTCGATCCGCGATTTCCAAAACTCCCACCGCCGCAGGCTGAGAGGCTGTATATCAACACAAAGCGTGCCTGGCCGTAACGCCTGCGCCGTGGCCTCGTCAAGGGCGTCTGTCGACCTCGATTCTTGGTACAACAAATCCGCGCATCGAGTAAGCCACTCCGCGGCAACCCAGAGCCGACACTGCATCACAAGCCTCCCCTCGAGAGGTTCTTCCAATGCTGTTCGAAGCTGCCATATCGGCAGAACCATCCAGGGTCGAAACCCTTGTTCTGATAGCTTCGCCGTGAAGGAGTTCAAGTTCTCCCAGTGCCGGAATGCTGTGAACGTTGGCCCATCGGCGGCAGTCGTGTCTTTGGCTATAAATGTCGGGTCATTCCACTGTTCTCTCATAGCCATGCCGAAGCCTGGAAGGTCTTGCCACGAGAGACCCTCCTCCCCGGCGCTCTCGATCTCACCCCGCTGCCGTAACAGGATCAAAGACCCAACAAGCCTGTCGTGCCAGGGCTGGTGGTGAGGAACGACGCTGGCGATGTCGACTATTACCCCCCATAGCAGATGCACAACATATTTCAGATCATAGGGTTCATCTGCAGTTGATGTGCTGCAGATGAGTGAAATCGCATCGGCCAGCTTCCTCATTCTCCCTGCCGTCAAGAACGGCTGCATGTCTGCGAAATTCTCCTTCACGGCAGCAAGCACTGCATACTCGACCTCATTGTAGTTGTTCGTTTCGATGGAATGCAGGTAGTCAGCCATGGCACTGAGCAGATCGCTGTAAGCTCCATTGGGTCACAACGGATTTGCAGGAGAGTAGATCGACTTCATTGAGATGCGACTCAAGTGCTACGGAGTGACACGGGACGGCTGATCCCAGCATAGCCATGATCCGGACTGTTGGTCCGTCCCACGTCACGAGGCTGTGTCGAGAGCGGATAGTGGACGTTGCTGCAATTGAGGACCTGAGGCGCTGCTGTGCTCCATGTCACGCTGAGCACCAACTAGCTTCCGATACCTGCGCATACTCCTCTTGGGATGAGGGCGACTGCAGGCGCCACTACAGCACGCCGAGCATGGGGAGTGCTACGACTTCTCGATGGTACATTACCCTCTGGAATGTCTAAAGATTCTATCGACCCTCTACTATCAGATCCGGCTGGACGCATCGAGCCCGTGCATCTCGCAAATCGCCATTGTAATTTTGAACCTCCAGGAGCGTGACGAAGTCCCATAAAGGGAGATCACCAGTCTCAGCACCTACCGAACTACCCCAAATAAGTGCTAGAGCACAAATCAGAAGTACAGCCCCAGTGACAATACAGTAGGCCAGCAGCGATGTCTGCCCGACGCGCACCAAGTACTGTAGCCTCGCAATCGCGACCTCACTATCGGGAGTCTCCTCGATCAGTCGCTGCGCGGTCGCAGTATCAAGTCCCCGTGAGTGCATGAAACTCTCCAAGATCTCCGCTGTCGCAGTGTCTTGCGCCATATCGGTGAAATCGACCAAGCCCTGGCCCATTGTCGCCCGAATGGGGATGAGATTATCACACCAGTAAAGAGGAATGGCGAGGAAATTATGCAGGAAGTTGGTGCAGTACGAGGCGAGCTTTGAGCTCGGGTCGCCGAGATGGAAGCAGGTCTCCAACATCGTGAAGGGGATGATGGGCAACAACGGGTTCATGCCAATGTCGGCAGTGCTGCTTGACAGACTGGAGAAGTCGAGGGGTAGACTTCCGATTGCCTGGCGTTTGCGAGTGGGGTTGGCAGCCGCAGAAGCGATAGCGTCAACGACGCTGCTGATCGTGGCGGCACCGGAGTCGCCTGTATCCACGGTACTTGTCGAGGTAGTCCTGTTGGTGAGCCATTGCGTCAATAGATGAGAGAAGGCTCCTGAGCCTTGGGTGTAGATGTTAAACGCGCTCAGCAACTCTGTTGCGTCGATCAAAGACGCACGTCGATCCTTCAAGGGCGTATGTGATGCAATGGAGGCATTTGCGCGATGATAAGAAACATCTGCTCGCGCGAGATCTGCCGTCATAGTTGTCGAGACTCTCGTGAGAGTGTTAGTATGCCAATTCGTGTCCGTCAGGCACTTTTTGGTTCCATACGCGAGAGCTGTGGGACACTTCACCATGACTGAGGGCTATCAGCGAGGTATGAACTGCTAGGAAAACTGCCACGACCGACTCACGTGCTTGGACTGAGTTGGCTGCAGTGTTCCTAATGCACAGCCGTACAGCTCCTTCCGCTCTACCCAACGTTTCACAATCTTGTTTCTGGTCGAATCGCCATGCCTGCTCGCCCTCGCCGGGCCCGAAAGTCAGAACATATCCTTGCATTTCATACGCAGTCAAGATACTGGCTTCAGAGTGATACACGGCTGTGATCAACTCTAGCGGTGCTGCGACCGGCATGAAGACTGTTCTCGCGCACTTAGCTCCGGTAGTCTCGTAATCCAGCTGCTCGCATGACAGCGTCTTCTGCTGCTCGGGTGTAACGTCAATCGCAAGCTCGTTACTGCTCAGAAAGTTGTTCACTTGTGTCGTGCCGTACACTCGATCAACCTGCATGGCTGATAGAAAGGCAAGTGAGGCATTGAAGCCGTCCATACCAGCCCCAGCAGCAACAGTCCATGTGCGGATGGGCAGGTAGTCTGCGACATTGTGCACGTCGCCTGTCAAAGTCAGTTGCCAGCGAAGCTCGTACTCCTTGAGGTTAAACCTACTCATTATCACCATTCCCACTACAGCGATGCAAGTCATAACAACCAGGCGAGTTAGAGCGGTGACCCTTGGCATTACACCGATATTCTTCTTCCCGAAAGCCAGTCTGATCAGCCCTAGACCACCGGTGCTGGCGTGTAAGGCCAGCAGATCAACGAATGATACATCCGTCCTTCGCTGGACATATACTCATTGCGCACGCTCAAGGATGGAAGGGAAGAGAACTGCAATCGCAATGTCTGTAATTCCAGACAGTACCCTGAGGTTCCGCACAGGCCTGCTGATAGATGTGGTAGAGTATCCAATGGCAAAAAAGTCACCTGGACGGCTAGCATACAGCGCCGTGATCGCGAATATGACCACTGTTAGTAGGAAGAGCAGCCAAAGCCACCATACCTGGCGACAAATGGCAGCTGCTGCGCTTCTAGTACGTGTCCGAGGGAGTGGTGTTGCGTGGTCCATTGGCGCCAGGCGTGCGTTGATCTACGGGTCGCCGTCTTCTCCCTTGCTGTTGCCGTATCTTGGACTCGCTCGACTCTGCCGCCACGAGCTAGATCGAACGCGCCCATCTTTTAAGGCTACGAGCAGCAGCCTGTTCGAGGACAAGGCTGGCAATGCGAAACGCCGTCCGGCCTCATTGCCCTCCCGGCCTCGTGTGCTCTGCGGCGCAGCGCAGGGTGGCGTTATTGCCTTGGTCAACGTAGCTGTGAAGCATGTAGGTGTGGTGTGATGCCAAGGGCGGACCGATGGTCTGAGACATGTGTAAAACAGAATATGAGGTCACAAGTGGTTCGTCTGAGGAGCGTCCTGACTATGTACTCCTGCCTCGTATTGGTCTATGACCCACAAGCTTGCTACATGTACCGGTGATCACAGTCCTGGACGCAGAGACACAGATATGGGACAAGCTAGATGCATTGAGCAGAGTTAAAGGCAGGGATCGCGACACTCCACAGCTCACAACTACATCGAATCGTCCAGATTCTCACCAACGACGAAGCGGTCGAATTGCCAGGCCTACATGAATACTCTCAGCACTATCACTGGGTGAACTCGCGAGCGAAGAGCAGGAACGCAATCACAGCTGAGCTTCTCGGCTTTTACCGACACTACACAGTTACGTCTCGTACCTTCTTCCAGCAACCCAGACCAGATCGTCGGCCATCCGCGCGCTCGTGCTCTTCAACATTCCGCCGTAAAGTCAATGCATCAGCGATCGTAGCGCCGTCCATGCCAGCCGAACCAAAATCGCAAAGCCGTGAAGCCCAAAACCCACACCCTCATACCCAGAAGAACACCTCGCTGCGCCATTGCTCAATCAAACCAACCCAGAATCCAAGAATCCCCCTCTTACCGGCCCTCCGAATCCCTAGTAGGATCCCTCATTTCGTCCCTCGCTCCCCTTCCCCTCGCAAGCCGCCGTCGTTCCCTCTCAGCCTCCTCCCTTATCTTCTGCGCATCCACATCCCCACTCCTCGAAACACCCGCACTCTCGCCCTCGCCCTTGCCACCAGGTAAGATCCGGCTGACAGCGAATGCAAGACCCTCGATGATGTATCTTCGGAACTCCTCGTCCTCGCGCATGTCTTCGGCCATGAGACGGAACTTTTCCTGCTTGTCCATGTCCTTTCGTCGCAGCGCGCGGATCTCAGCGAGTATGTGCAGGAGGACTGGCTCCGGGCACTTGATGCGTGGCGCGGCGCGGGAGGCGGATTGGACGTAGCGGCGCGTGACGTCCGCGCAGCCGTCGGCGGAGAAAGCGATGCAGTACGCGAGGTT